TATATGGTTCTAGTCTCTGTGACTTGGTTGATTGCGTACCATTGCACCCCAACAACATGAGATGTTGCTCATAGTATCAATCACTGGTTTGTCTGGTCCGGACGTGATTATTACTGGCTGCTGCCATATAGCTTGAATACTGATGATTGCCGCTTCATACAGCTACAGGGGGCACGGGTGGCCCAGTCGTCTAAGGCGCTGCGATTCGCCAGAAACCTATGATTGTGGGTTCGAATCCCAGTTCGCCCCGATTATGTTTCAAGGTTTGTCAGCACCATACCCGTGCTCTTAGATTTCACCAATGTGGTAAACGTCTAAGACCTGCATCACTTCGGGCTTTCCTCCCACATTAAGCTGACACGATGTGATATAACTGGAATACTGTTAAAAGCGGCGTTAAACACAACTCACTCACTCATACAGCTACAACAACAACAACAACAACAACAACTACAACAACAACTACTCCAGGATTGTTCAGTGTGGCTGAAAACACCAGACATGAACAGGGCACAAGGATTGGCATCCTTGTCATAGACTGAGCTGGTCCAGGTCCTTCATCTGAGACTGGTTCGGATCCAACTCCTGAGTCTGGTTGATATCCATCATCTGGATCTGGTCCACTCGGGGCCACTAACTGATGTGTGCCAAAATGAACTCTGCTGGGACTGTTTTGTCTCAGAACCTTTGACAAGAAGCAGAACCCGCCAAGCTTAAATAGTGTGAAACATGAAGTTGTTGATGATGTTGCTAGTTTCTTTACAGCGATAATTGAATAATCAGATGAGTGTCATGTCTTTGAAATGATGGACTGATTTATCTGGCCTCAGAAGTTTGCAAATGGAATGTCATACTGATGGTAACTGTGTTATATTTACACAGGGTTCTGATAAGATGCACCTTGAGGAAATTGGCATCTGGAACCAATGGAAACATGTTGTTCTTTGGATTTTATGGTACAACTTTATCAGAACGTCTTTTTCTGGTTTTGTTTATGTGTTTGTTTGAACAGGTACAGCTTTCAAACGAGTTGCATAGTGTAGGATTGAACGTTTTAACATTCATTTTGATCTGATTTTTCTAATTATATATTGTAGAATATATTTTGTGTCTTGTTTGAAATATTTTCAACGATGGTTGAAAAATGGATACATTTTGATTGGTCCTTTGTGACAATTTTCTTTTCATTCTAATTTTTCTCTTTAATGTATACAAACACACACACTTTGTTTTCTTCTTTTTTTTAAGTGGAGAGACCATTCACTTATTTCAATTAAATTTCAAGATAGAACAATATTTAATTTCAAACACCTGCACCCAAATTCTTGCTGTGAAAAGCTGCGAAATTGCTGATGCGGTGTTAAGCAATAATCACTCACTCACCCAACTTCCTTTTTTGAAACTTCTTATATTCATTTTTGGCATATCATTCAAGAAAGTGTTTTCATTGTTTCTGTCATTGTAATTTGATAAAATAATTGAGGTAATGTTGCTGGACAGTTTGTGAAGGGGAGTGAAGCCACTCGAAGAGATCCTGACACAGTTGTCTGAGGCGCTCTGTTGAAGCGATTGGAGAAGCCGTGCACTTTCACTAATGATGATATCATTAGTTTCAATCATTTGAACCAGCTCCAGGATTATGAGGGTTAAGTGGATCCCGTGGGAGATAGTTACCGGAAGGGTTCCGACTAACAAGGTTAACCCTTTAAGTGAGACAAGGGAGCATTTGATTTGATGGTTTACAATTGGAACTCAGTATGAGATAAAAGAATGTAATGGTCTTTTGACATAAACATAAATACCTATACTACTCAAAAGAAGTAAAGGACCACCCGTTTCTTTCATATTACTAAAGTCAATCTGTTATGTCACCCTTTTTTATAACTATTGTAGATCTGTCATGTCAAGATGTATTAACTATAGTTATATGAAAGAATCAGGTGGTCCTTTGCTTCTTTTGAATAGTGTGGGTTTTTTTTTGTGTAAGTTGCCGTTGGCGGGGGATATAGAAACAGGCTCCGTCCGTCTGTCCGTTTCGTTTCCGGAGCATAACTCAGAAACTGTTCTATATTTTTTCATGAAACTTTGCAGGTCTGTCAAGTACATGCTGAACTGATGCCTTTTGCTATTTAGAAATTTTAGAAATTTTTAATTTTTACGTTTCTGTGCCAACAAGATAGACTCAGGTTCTGTGAGGGTAGGGTTGGTTCCAGAGCATAACTCATAAACCGTTCAATATTTTTCATGAAACTTTGCAGGTTTGTCAGGTACATGCTGAACTGGTGCCTTTTGCTATTATGAAATTTTTAGAAATTTTTATTTTTTTACGTTTCCGTGGCAACAAGATGGACTTAGGTTCCAAACTCTTCTTCTTTTTACAATTTCCCTGACAAGTTCCACCTCAGTTAAAAAAGGTTAGGGTTTGTTTAGATTTAATTATGTCATAAATTCTGCAACAGGTGCAGGGGATATAGCCACGTTAGTGGCAAACTCTTGTTTTCATTTCTCATCACGTGAAGTGTGATGGTAAAGACTGATGTGGGTTTGAATCCAAATTCATTCTGTAAGCAGCCCACATATTTTCATGTCTAAATCCTTTTGGGCTATGACGGGTTAGAATCCCACATTTGCCCTGATTATATTTGTAGGTTGGTAAGCATCATACTCGTGCTCATGGTTTTCACCAAGGTGATGAGCGTCTAAAACCTGCATTACTTTTTCTTTCCTCTCATATCGGGCTGTCATGCTGTGATCTAACTGAAGTCCTGTTAACCATTGATACCTAGAAAATGTAGTTTCAAGATCACCAGTGAGTAATCGTTGCCTAGGGCTCACTCACTCACTCACTCACTCCCATGAAGATCCAGGTTAGAATTGGTCTTTAGCAACCAATGCATTGCGTAAGAGGCGATTATGTTGATTTGGGTGGTCAGGCCTGCTGACTTGGTTGATGCATGTCATCATATCCCAATTGCGTAGATCAATGCTCTTGGTGTCAATCACTGGTTTGTCTGGTCCAGACTTCATTATTAACAGACCGCCATCATATAGCTGGACTATTGCTGAGTGTGGTGTCTCTCTCTCTCACTCACTCACTCACTCACTCACTCACTCACTAACTCACACAAGAAGACGTAGCTGCAAGATCGCCAATGAGATGGTTAGCTACAGTCAGTGATATGGTCTTGGCTTAGGGCTCATTCACTCACTCACTCACTCAAGAAGACGTAGTTGCAAGATCGCCAGAGAGATGGTCAGCTACAGTCAGTGGTATAGTCATGGCTTTGGGCTCACTCACTCGCTCACTCACTCACTCAAGAAGATGTAGTTGCAAGATCGCCAGAGAGATGGTCAGCTGCAGTCAGTGATATAGTCATGGCTTAGGGCTCACTCACTCACTCACTCACTCACTCACTCACTCACTCACTCACTCAAGAAGACGTAGTTGCAAGATCGCCAGAGAGATGGTCAGCTGCAGTCAGTGATATGGTCTTGGCTTAGGGCTCATTCACTCACTCACTCACTCACTCACTCACTCACTCAAGAAGACGTAGTTGCAAGAAACGCCAGAGAGATGGTCAGCTGCAGTCAGTGATATGGTCATGGCCTGGGGCTTCTCTGGCATTACTGACAGGCTTAGGCGAGATGACTGCAGTGATAGACTAGGACGCTGCTCTAATTGTACTAATTGCTGGCATTAGAAGTCTTACAGTTCTCTGTAAAGCCGGTTAAATTTCCAATTTTTCTTAATGATACTCGACAACTGTCAATCATAATGGTGGTTGTGGTTTTCGTCAGTAGGTTGAGTGTGGGAAGATCTGTTCATCTTCAGGTCATTTCTGTCGGGCATACTTTAATTTGGCACATAATGAACTGCAACCTTTAGTTTGCATGCAAGCTCAAGAACTAGTCACCCAAACTATAGTCTAGAATTTCGATTGACACTTCAGGGCTCAATTTAGCTATATAATACATGCACCAGTGCAGCTTTTTATTATAAAATGTAACTTAGTTATGTTTGGATGCACCAAGCGAATGTAAAAAAAAGTTCCCTTACTTGTCCAGACACAAAATCAATCTTTGAACACACTTATACCATTTCACCTCACCTCACCTCCAGGCTACCAACCTATCCTTGTCGTCTCATTGGATGGTCAGTATCTGTGACTTTGTTAATTCCATCCCCCCATGTACCCATGGTATGGATCGTTGTTCACAATATCACTCACTGGTTTGTTGTGTCCAATGATTTACAGGCTAGAATATTGCTGAGTGATGTAAAACAAACAACAAACAAACTATATATGTACTGACTACAGTCTGACCCTTGAAAACCCGGGGTAGAATAGGTCTTCAGCAACACATGCTTGTCATAAGAGGTGACTAACAGAATCGGCTGGTCAGGTTGGCTGACTTAGTTGATGCATGTCGTCGTACCCCTATTGCGTAGATCGATGCTCATGATGTCAATCACTGGATTGGCTGGTCCAGACTTGATTATTTACAGACCACCGTCATATGGCTGGACTATCGCTGAGTGTGGCGTAAAACAACAAATAATGACAAAAAATGACTACAGTCTGGGTTGTGTTGAAAATATATGATTGTGACAATCTCTTTTATGACAATAGTCATGATCCATGACAGCTTTCTCTGGGGCAGTTTCGGGCAGTCGGGTAGCCTAGTGGTTAAAGCGTTCGACCCGGGTTCAATTCCCGACATGGGTACAATGTGTGAAGCCCATTTCTGGTGTCCCCCGCCGTGATATTGCTCGAATATTGCTAAAAGCGGCGTAAAACCATACTCACTCACTCTCTGGGGCAGTTTCAGGAGCCAGGGTTGACTTCCGACCCTGTTGCTGTTGTGGTAAGAAATATGTAGAGATGCTGAACTACCCAGTGTCATATATCTGATCCATGAAAATGTTGTCAGGTAATATGTTTGATCCTGAGAATTGCTTATTTATATGGCAGATGTTTATTTGCTTGGATTTGTTCCAGGAATGACAGGGGCATGCTGCCTTGATAGGTTGTACTGAAGCTGGGGGCTGGATGAGCTGTAGGTACCATGGCCCGGTCTGCTGCTGCCTCCACTGCTGTTGCTGTTGCTGTTGTTGTTGCTGTTGCTGGACTGAAGATGTCAGAACCTGCACCATCGTGACCCAGTCTGCTGCTCAACAGATATAAACACTGTCAGAATGTTGGAGGAACCTTAGAGGATTGTGAGGAATCCTTTCAGTGACAAGTGCATTAGTGGTGGGTGGTAGTTCCTGGTGTACAGGAGTGGTTGTGGCATTGCAAGAGGGATAGGACTTCTGTCCTTGTGTGGGGGGCTGAGTGGGTGGGGAAGAGATCCACAGGAGGGGTAGGACAGTGTTTCTGTCCTTGTGTGGGGGGGGCTGAGTGGGTGGGGAAGAGATACACAGGAGGGGTAGGACAGTGTTTCTGTCCTTGTGTGGGGGACTGAGTGGGTGGGGAAGAGATACACAGGAGGGGTAGGACAGTGTTTGGTTTAATGCTGCTTTCAACAGTATGACAACGTCACACAACTTATGAACACTATGAACAGAAATCTTTGAGAATATTACTTGTAAATAGTATTGCAATATTAGGGCCACCAATGATCCACCAGTTCATTAAGTCTCTAGCCAGGTGGAATGTCGCCAATGATGCATGACAAGCACCTGCTGTACCTGTCCCACTCCGTCTATTGTGTACAGTAGCACGCAACCTTACAGCCATACCTTACCTCCAAGGGTTCAACACAGGGCCATCAGGTGTAAATTATCACCAGATTACCTGTGTAAAACAAAGCCCCTTCCACTCCACCCATAAAACATGGCAATGAAACACTGTGTGGTCGTGCTGGCGACCGAATCAAAGTACATAACTGGCAATAATGTCTTTGATGAGAGAACAGAAATCCACAACGGCGATAAAAGAATTAGGATATGTTTGACCAGGACACTAAATGGCTACAATATTTACACCTGACGCTTGATGTAAGAGTGTTTCAGGTGTCTGTGGCTTAAGACTCCTTCGTAGACAGACATTAGCCATGAATTATGAGAGCTTTTGCGGAAGATATTTACTTTATGTAATATATCAGTGTAACAGTGTTTCTTTGTGTGAAATTCAGCAGGGTCAGGTTTCTAGGTGTTTGAGTGAGTGTATAAGTGAATAGGGAAACGTTTTTAAAACTTTATGAAACTTTGTGTGCGTAATAAGAGTTTAACAAGTTTGCTTGACTGCTCAGTCTGTTCTACTATCATTTAAAATTGCACCACATTTTCAAAGTGTTTTCATTGAGAAAAAAGCCAGTACAGTAAAGTATGGTTATAACGAACTCAGGGGTGGTCGGGTAGCCTACTGGTTAAAGCGTTCGCTCGTCACGCCGAAGACCCGGGTTCGATTCCCGACATGGGTACAATGTGTGAAGCCCATTTCTGGTGTCCCCTGCCGTGTTATTGCTGGAATATTGCTAAAAGCGGCGTAAAACCATATTCACTCACTCACTCACTCACTCACTATAACGAACTCGAAGGGACCACTAATCATAGTTTGTTATGACCGTTCGTTGTAAGTATTTCGACTGCAGACATCCCATAAATGACATCAAATACATAACACAAGTAAAAACATGTTATAAATATGTTATTGATAGTTTCACTGACATACAGACACAGGAGTCTATTGTTAATTGGGGGTGCAAATGGAGGACAAGGTGTCAGTACTTAATCCAGTTAATCACGAGCCTTCACTTGTTTATTGCCGCTGTGAACAGCCATGCGTGGTGACAGGTGAGCAGCCCAGAGATTAACAGTTCATTATAAACAAACATAGTCGCTCACAGAGTACACATGGGCTGACAAAGTGAGTTCGTTTTATCCATTATTTCGTTATTAGCGTGTTCATTATATCCATCAATATTTTAAATATAAAATATACAACAAAAGGCTGGGACTAAAAAAAACAGTTTGTTATCCATCAGTTCGTTATAACGTGTTCATTTAACCGTAGTTTACTGTATAAGATTTTATTCTCTGTGACTATATTTTGGTAACCTCATTTCACATGGAGAGAAAATGCTCCATTTTATACTCCATGATTTACTTTAGAACATCTGTCTGTTGAAGGAACGTTTAAGTCTAATATCTCCAACATTTCTTTTGGCAACTGTTTTAGTGGGTTTAGTGTTAATATACTACTCCACTTTTGATAGAGATAATCAAGTATGTTTGATATATTTAGATATACACTTGACATATTCTGAGAATCAGTTTTGTGTATAATGGAAAGACAAACATATCAAAAGTGGTGTAGTATAATAGACAATTATGAGCTAACTTTACCGGTACTTGACAGGAAACAAATCTTACTGGACGCCAGCTTCAGTGCTGTGTAGACTGTTCATTCATACTGTTGCATTGGTTGACAGATGTTAATGAAGTCTCACACTTAACTGCACAAAACACCAATTGAATAGATTCCTGTAAATCTTATGTACGGCATTATGTGTTCATTATGTCTGTTTTGGACCATTCCAATTGTGATGGTGGCCTAGGGGTAGCCTAGTGGTTAAAGTGTTTGCTCATCCGCCGAAGACCCGGGTTCGATTCCCCACATGGGTAAAATGTGTGAAGCCCATTTCTGGTGTCCCCCGCCGTGATATTGCTGAAATATTGCTAAAATGGCATAAAACCATGCTCACTCACCCACTCATCCAAGTGAGACAACATGTGTAAATGTAGGTATGTTACATTATTGAATACTTTGATACCGGTATGTGTTTGTTCATATATTTGCAATTTATTTGTCATATGATGTCATTTGTATCATATGGTGTACCATTATTTGATACCTTTGTATCTTGTCATTGAGGGGTGGTCGGGTAGCCTAGTGGTTAAAGCGTTCGCTCGTCACGCTGAAGACCCGGGTTTTTGATTCCCGACATGGGTACAATATGTGAAGCCCATTTCTGGTGTCCCCCGCTGTGATATTGCTGGAATATTGCTAAAAGCGGCGTAAAACCATACTCACTCACTCATGTCATTGATATGTGATATTTACCACAAAACTCATATTAATATCACCTTCTGATGAAGTAAACAAGCTTTGCTGTTACCAAGTTACAAGATGTGTCATATTCAAGTGCTTACTATGCTACTAAAATAAGTTAAGGATCACCAGACTGTCATGGCCTGGCAGCTTAACAATGGTAATATGAAAGAATCGGGTGGTCCTTAACTTTCATAGAGTAGTATATGTGTATATAGAGTGTACATAGCTCACTTTGGCATTGTCATACTTGTACATATCACTGTCATCAGTAGAATAAAAAAATGTTTTTTTGTATTTAGTTTTGGAATGTAAAATTACCAATCATGCAATCTCATTAAAATCAGACATTAGTTCTCGCTACCGCTAAACTAAGATGTGAAATTAATGAGATTGACCAATCATGTTGCTTGTTGTATTCAGATTTTCACTGTAAAATAACCAATCATATCACTTGTTACAAATAACAACTCATTCTCATGTACATTGTTGATCATGTCACATATTTCACTCCGACAAGCTCATGAAACTTCAGTTTCATATAAATGTTGTACATAAATAGTTTGAACTGATTTTATTGTCTGTCATCTTTTAATAGACGTAATGGAATGAGGGATCAGTGTGCACAGTTGGCCATGTTGAATCAATAAATCACATAATAGGTTTTTAAGACCGTCTTCAGTCTCCTGCTGATTCTGTTTCGATAAGCATTTTGATGAAAATCCAATGCTGAATTCATCAAGACCATTGATTAAAGTAAAACATACTGGATTTTCTGCACCATTTGGTGACCACGTAACAAAGAACACACTTAATGACTAATCGTCATGGTGACATGTTATACGAGTATACAAGTACACGAAGTCAACATCCCAAGGAGGAGAAAAGCACTGTGCAGAAGTGTTGTGATGTCTCTCGCAGGTCGTTCTCATCTTCCTGACTATAAAAGTCCAGTGTCCTCCCTTGCCCAACGAGGCTGCAATTATGAAGTTATGTTTTGGCTGGACAGACGAGTCTATGCATTAGGGCTGGGACGGGTAACTCGGGTACCCGGGTCGGGTGGGCACACTGAGTAGGACCCGGGTACGCTCAGGACTACCCAGACCCGTGGTTAGTCATGTAATATATAGTTTAATGACAAAAATTGTCTAGAACTCTGTGGTTACACTACAAGTCACTAATGCATTTCTTTCTGACTATGCACCAATTCATAGTGACTTTTCATATGGTTGAATAAAGATCTAACTTAAGTCAACTTCAGTGTATGCATGACCAGATCGTTTAATACATGTATCTAAATACATTTTGCAAGTGCTGTGGCAATCTCTTTAAAATCAGATCTTAGTTCTCGCTATCGCTAAACAAAGATCTGAGGACATCCCATTAAGGGTCACGTCAGAACAACCTTTCATCCAACCAATCAGAGCGTCGCTTACCAGATCATGAAAGTGACAGTCGGAATGTGTTTTCTAAACATGCAACCTCGAAAAACGTTAAAACGGGGTATTCCGAACGACAGTTACGGCCCGTCTGACTGATTCCGTCAAAATTATCGTCTATCTCTCGCTTCCGTAGGATAAACATTTGAACGGAGGAGGCATTGCACAGTACGTGGGAAGCACTACAATACAATCGTAACCACATATTAGACATTCCAGATTGTTCTTTTGTTCAGTTTTCAAAATTTTAATCGAGAACAGTGTCAACATATTTTTCAAGCGTAGTCTGAAATGGAAGTTGCCAGGTTGAAACGAGTGCCGTAAAGCTCCAGAAAGCTGCTTTCTAATTGGCTGATGTTGACTTCTTGTTCTTCGTCTCAGTGGTCGGTCAAAGTTCACGAAAGGTAGTTCTGACGTGACCCCTAATGGGATGTCCTCATATCTTTGTTTAGCGGCAGCGAGAACTTAGATCTGATTTTAGTGAGATTGGTGCTGTGGTAAAAACAATTACCAATCGGACATTTTGTATCTCTTCAGACCTATAGTTGGTACCCGGTAGGGTCGGGTAATAGAGGAGTGGGTACCTGGGTAGTAAATTTGGACTCGTCCCAGCCCTACTATGCATAGTCCAATCAAAATCGCTTATTGAAATCGACATCTGGATCATAACCTGACATGCAGATTTCAGTCGATTGCAGGACTTGCAAAGCATGTGTACCAACAACTTAGTGTCAACAGATATTTTACAAATCTTGTCATGTTTTTAATCAAGGTGCTCACATGATTTGATGCACGTTGCAAAGTAAGCCCCCATTTTATTACAATATAGAACATGATTATCGGTCAGCTCGTCTTCACTGGGCGACGCATTTAATTTGAAGCAAATGTAAGTTATATGAGAGAGGGAATCTGATTGGTCAATAGGAGGTACACAGAAGGGACAGAACTCGTAATATATATAGCCACTGGTGGTGCTACAATTGTGCCCAGAAATACCAGTCTAGTTCAACAAGGGTGGAAACTGGACTTTTACATTCAGTTAACTCCCTCGCCTCGGAAAGATTGGTCATCCTGCGTCTGCTACAGATTGGATGCCATTTTGTAAGAACAGGGTGTCAAGTCATGGGAGATTTGGCAGTGTGGAGTATTGACTGGTCACTGACAGATCAAAATATGGGATGTATCCATAGTCTTTATTAACATGTACCTATGATAACAATTTGAAAACATTTCCTAGACTTCGTTTTAAAATATGGCATGTTACTTCCTTGCAATGTGAGAATTATTTCTGTCAACTGTGATGAGAGGAATTCTTGCCGAGAGCTGTGTAAAAGTCTACTGATTCACTCTCTAGTCCATCCCTGGTCGTCTCGCCAAACGACGTTTACAGATGGTACTTTGTATCTCAGTGGCTGCCTTTAGTCTGTACTAGTACACATGGGCACTGACACACAGACACACACACACACACACCACACCACACCACACCACACCACACACAACACCATACCAACACAACACCATACCAACACAACAACACCATACCAACACAACACCATACCAACACAACACCATACCAACACAACAACACCATACCAACACAACACCATACCAACACAACACCATACCAACACAACAACACCATACCAACACAACACCATACCAACACAACACCATACCAACACAACACCATACCAACACAACAACACCATACCAACACAACACCATACCAACACAACACCATACCAACACAACATCATACCAACACAACACCATACCAACACAACAACACCACACCAACACAACACCATACCAACACAACAACACCATACCAATACAACAACACCATACCAACACAACAACACCATACCAACACAACACCATACCAACACAACAACACCATACCAACACAACAACACCATACCAACACAACAACACCATACCAACACAACACCATACCAACACAACAAAAAGTCCCCTATGAAGGAGGTACCTTAATTATCATACGTGAAGTGGTGCACAATTACCTATTTTCTTTCTTACATTTGCAAATTTTCAGCTTCCTACTTCATGAAGCTCATAATTACAGCATAAATGAATAAAACAGGCTGATTTTTCAAACATCCAAAGACAAGTTAACTTTAACAAGTCTGATCCAAGATTGTTTACCACTTTTTCTACTGTCTCTATATTTTAGAAAATTGGCTTGCGTCTAAGACTTTTTCTAGTTCAAATATTACTCTTTTTAATGTATTTCATCTTTACCTAAACAACCAGTGTAAGTGTTAATATATAAAGTCGCATCATAGGTCTTCGGAAATTATACTTTTTTGGACGGACATGTTTATCGCGATTAATCACGCTATAGCAAGGGGTTTGGCGTCACACAGACATTGTAAATACTCAGATAATGGGCTGTTTAAGGATAAAACAATATTCACTCACACACCCTTAAAACCCGTAAAACAATGTCTAACACTGTTGTTTTCTCTAATTAGGCAGATCCAGTGTGCCAAAAAGGGCCATTATCTCCGAGCCTATGCAAAAACAGGAGTAAGTCAACACATCACCACTCCCAGATTCCACATGGGCCCTTAGAGGAAATACCCAGACTATGATTTAGTAATTCTGTCTGAATCCATATCATTCCTACGAAGGGAACACACTGTTTAATTGGCTGTGGCTGAGGTATACTGTTAGTGCTTGCTACCATAGTGTAAGTCTTCAGTCAGGTTCCGTTACACCCTTGAAATTCCCCCTTGCTCTCTCAGAATACCTGTCACTTCCTTTGGTATCAGAGCCTTCAGCTTTATCTTCCTGTGTACCAGCAGCATCATTAACAGGTTGCAGCCATGTAGCAACATCAACACTGATCTGCATGGCCCGTAACTCACAGCTCCACCCCAGACTATGTCCTGTACTAGGAGCAACATCAACACTGATCTGCATGGCCCGTAACTCACAGCTCCACCCCAGACTATGTCCTGTACCAGCAGCATCATTAACAGGTTGCAGCCATGTAGCAACATCAGCACTGATCTGCATGGCCCGTAACTCACAGCTCCACCCCAGACTATGTCCTGTACCAGGAGCAACATCAACACTGATCTGCATGGCCCGTAACTCACAGCTCCACCCCAGACTATGTCCTGTACCAGCAGCATCATTAACAGGTTGCAGCCATGTAGCAACATCAGCACTGATCTGCATGGCCCGTAACTCACAGCTCCACCCCAGACTATGTCCTGTACCAGGAGCAACATCAACACTGATCTGCATGGCCCGTAACTCACAGCTCCACCCCAGACTATGTCCTGTACCAGGAGCAACATCAACACTGATCTGCATGGCCCGTAACTCACAGCTCCACCCCAGACTATGTCCTGTACCAGCAGCATCATTAACAGGTTGCAGCCATGTAGCAACATCAACACTGATCTGCATGGCCCGTAACTCACAGCTCCACCCCAGACTATGTCCTGTACCAGGAGCAACATCAACACTGATCTGCATGGCCCGTAACTCACAGCTCCACCCCAGACTATGTCCTGTACCAGGAGCATCATTAACAGGTTGCAGCCATGTAGCAACATCAGCACTGATCTGCATGGCCCGTAACTCACAGCTCCACCCCAGACTATGTCCTGTACCAGGAGCAACATCAACACTGATCTGCATGGCCCGTAACTCACAGCTCCACCCCAGACTATGTCCTGTACCAGGAGCAACATCAACACTGATCTGCATGGCCCGTAACTCACAGCTCCACCCCAGAATATGTCCTGTACCAGGAGCAACATCAACACTGATCTGCATGCCCGTAACTCACAGCTCCACCCCAGAATATGTCCTGTATCAGTAGAGACAAAACACATTTTACATAATGTTGTCCCAGTGCTGGAGATAAGGCGTGTTGTGTCTGCTGTGGCGATATGAAGACCGTCACACCTTATAATGTCTTTCCCTTGCCAACTGATGAAATCTCTAATCACGAATGAAAAGAACCAGACTTGGCTTAAAGAAGACAGACATTACCAGGATAAATTTGAAATTTTGATTTAAAACAACACCTTTAGAAAGCTATGGTGTCCATCTTCATGGGGGTCCTAGGGTCCTTGAGGTAAGTTGTTTTC